TATTGTCTGTGCCGCTGTGCACATGAACCATCACAGCATTTGTGTAAATTTAACCGGCACAGAATTAGATATAAATGAAACAATCGACCCGGACGCCAGCTCTACCAGGCACCCCATTATATTCCATTTCTAAAAATAGATCACACACTGGACCTTTTAAGTTATCAGAAAAACTAGCTAACGTTTACAGCAGCTCAGCTCAACTTTGTCTGCTGAACAGTGCTGGAGAAAGGTGGAACTGCTTTATTCAGTGTTTTACACCCGGCCAATAAAAAACATCACACATACCTTAATCTCCCACACAACCCCAGTCTCCATAGTAATTTCCATGTCATAAACTAGGAGCTCAACACTGCGAGAGAGGCTATCATCCTTATGGGTTTGCTGCTGTAACAATATAGAGAAGGCTGCCATCCCTTCTTCCTTCTCCTCCACTTCTGACAATTTGAACACACAGTTTCCCCACAGGGGATATTCCTAGAGGATGGGAGGAGCGAGGAAAGGTGGAGAGATTATAAAATATAATGTCAGCACATCCACTGTGATTGTCTTAATGGCGTAATATGTTGGAAAACACATGTTAAATACTATTAAAGGTTTAATCAGGGCTGAATAAAAGTAATCTTTAAAACTGGGTAGAGCCATTCCTCCTGCCTTGCTTTGTAGTTTCAGCATTTAAAGTTTAAGTCTAGGTTTTTTCCAGAGCCAAATAAATCTGGAGATTATTTTATTAAATTTGAAAAATTGTTTTGAAGAAATTTCTACAGGAAGAGATATTATGGAAGAATAACCATAGAGTACTAAGAAAAGAGTCTGTGTATGTCATCATCTGTATGTATGTGGCAACCTCTGCCTTTTTTAATTTATATGTTTATTAACCTGTTGTTTTGTTAAATCCAAAATGAAAAACTGCATGTTGTTACATGTGTCAAACAATTCATGATGTCTGATAAACGATGTATTATGTTGTCTATGTATGAAATAGATAATATAAATATAAATTATACTCTATGAAATTACCATAATACAATAATTAGTATTAGTATTAGTATTAAAAAGGTTATTATTGAAATCCGCATTTTACAAATCACTATCCTGTTGTCACACACCTCATACACTCATAATATGCTTACTTTTATTATTCAGAAAAAAAATAATTTACCTGTCCATCAAAGGACCTGACTGTTTGGACCCCACTCACAGAACAGGAACCAACACTTCTGGGAGAACAATAGGCAAAACCCTGTTTCACAACACACTTCTCATTGGTTGAACAACGGAATTTAGGATCACACTGTATTTTTCCACCATCTGAACAAACACAACGAGTGTTACAGGACTCTCCTGGATAGAACACCTGAGAAAAGAGGAAGAAATATCAGAAGCAGTAATATTAGTGACAGAAGCTGTAGTTATAGCAGCATTAATTGTACGAGTAGAAGTGGCATTTGCTATATTATTGCCACTGTAGTACCTGTCCATTTTGATAATACTGTCCTTCATACTGACAACCACACTCTGCTAGAGGTACACAGCTGTCATGACTCAGCATGAATCCATCATCACACACGCAGCCTTCTGTGCAGAAAGCACTGGCGTCACAGCCCTCTGGGGGCGTAAGACCACTGCAGGTCAGTTGGCAGGGAGACGCACACAGCTCATAGTGACTGTTTGCACCACATGATGGAGCTGGAAGAGTGACACACATAGATGATAATGTTCCTTACAAACATTATTGACATACTTGTGTTTTAGCTTTTATGATTCAAACACTAGTAGTAGTAAGTACAGCAGACTATCAAGACAGATGGCCAAACAACAGAGGGATAAGTGTGGTCCTGTTACTGAAGACACCTTCTACCTGATGAAGACCATGGAGAGGATCATCCTGAGACACCTGCGACCCCTGGTGGGCACACAGCTGGACCCCCTGCAGTTTGCTTACCAGCCTGGTATTGGGGTGGACAACGCAGTAATCTACCTGCTGCACAGATCGCAGCTACACCTGGAGGACAGCGGGAGTTCTATCGTGGAGGGTGAGGAGTCCAGGAATTTATGAATTAGTCTACCCTCACCTGCAAGTGGTCGATCGCGTGGATTTTCACTGGGGGTGAGTGGGAGGTGTGTTTTCTACCGTGGGAATTAATGAGTCAGTCTGCTTGTTTGCTTATGTTGTAAGCCTTGAAGGCTGTTGAAGCTCACCAACCAGCTGACACACAGTCGGCCTTCGATGCCAGGTCCTGTATTCCAGTTTGGTTCCCTCAGAGGACGCAGTCAACAGAGTTGGCTTGAGGCTCTGAGAACTTGCGTGGATGTATGGCATGGGTGAGTTGTGTGAAAGTACCGAGGTGTGGATTAAGAGGAATGGGAGAGGCACCGTTTACCTGAGGCCACCTGGTTGTTGCGATGCCGTTCGACACACAGTTGGGGTGGAACTTCAGCGATCTGTGTGGTCTGTTGGTTGAGGATAAATCTACGTTCAAGTGTGCAGCCAGTTTATGGTGGGGTTGTTGTCCGACTCGCCAGCACTTGTCCATCGTGTCCCTCTGGAACGCCACAGTGACAGGCTGGAGTAGTGTTGAAAAGCAATGCCGGGGAGAGAGTGCAGAAGAAAGACGCATTCGGTAACCGCTGACCGTGG